GCCACATCTTGAAGGCAGCGTTTGTGTAACTGAAAGCCCGGTCAGAGGCTGGTCCTCGGGGTGCACAGAGCCCCACTGTTAATCACAGCAGCCCACACGGCTCATGTTTCCTGCAGGTGGCCAGGCTACCAAATCTGCAGAAGCTTGGGGGAAAAAAAAAAAAACCACATACATCTAACAAAGAGACATTCCTGGTTTTCAGGGGAATTTACTTCCCCATCCATTACAGGGAAAAAACAAAAAAACCTAAGAGACAGTCCTTCAGTTGACCATTTTTTTTTTTAATTCTTATTTTTAATGCAAGTGGATTGCAGAAACTTTTTTTTTAAGCTTGTAAAAGATACAGCAGGAAGTTTCTCAGCTCCAAAAAAAGCCAACTACAGTATCCTCATATATAAATTACAACTTTACAGATCTAATATCTACATAAAATCAATATACAGAGCTGTGGATCAAACAGCATAAAGACTCTCCATCCTAGCTGTATGATTCATCAGAACACAGGGATAATTAAAGGGGCAAATGAATAATATGGACAATAAGCTCTGCAAACAATAGGACTCAGAATTATGAACATAAGACAACAGACCACATCATGTGCCTGTGCAAGTGGCTTCACAGACTGAGCAGAGTAATGCTGATTCACACCAGTCAGAGATGCAACTCGATTCCTTGTTTCTTTAGGATTTTCTGTAACAGCCAGCTCAAACCAGTAAGCCATTCTAATCCTAAACCTAAGCAGGGTGACACCTTTAACTGTATCACATTCATGTAACTTAAAAAAACCTTTGACACACAACAAATGAGTGCTTCTTTCACACAAGTCTGTGGTTGCAATGCAGCATCCTCACTGGAAGCAAATCCCTGTTATTCCAAGAGAGAGCAGTATTTAAACAAAGCCATTTGTTCTTCCTCTCCTCATGATGCTATCTTATCACAGTCCAAGTGTTTTATATCAGCACACTGAAATTATGTGTAATGAACAAGGATGTTCAAGATAAATCCTAAGAGTTACAAAGCAAATACTTCCTTTCTCTGTAAACAATATGACTGAACCCACTTCTTGAAGAAATCAAGCTATATTTATATTCACCCTCTTGAAATGCTACAGGCAGCCATAGAAGGATAAGTTTATAATAAATTGCTATATTTGGAAACCTTTGTTGCTAAGCATCTTCTAACATTCAGTACAGTTTATACCATTCATGTCCCTGCTACATAATTAACATTTCATATGTTTTTTGTTTTGTTTCGTTTTTTAAAGTGCAGTGCTTATCTTTGCTGATAAATTAAAAACATCATATTTTTTTGGGAATTAATAAAAGACCAAAGGGTAAAGTAAATAAAGGAGAAGCAACAGGATCTCAAGGGCATCAAGCACAACAATTAAGGTTGAGATAGATCCACAGAGTTGATGTCTGTCACCTTGTTGTCAACTCTTACAACAAATACTGCAAGTTTCATAGCCAGTGTTTTTCCTATAAAGTCACAAAGTTTTGTGGTTTCCTTTTTTATTGAGAGGTTAGAACTGTTTCTTTAGTAGAAGAAAAGAAGGTATTGGAAAAAAAATCCACTAATATTTTATATACTCAGCAGATCAAGTAAAAACACTCTTAACTGATTACTACAAGCGTCTCTATATAAAGGTGTCATGGGTTTTGGTCATAACATCCCATCTGGAAAAGTCCAGAGCACACTGCACAGATTCTCCAGGTTTCCTGGCCACCCTTCCTCCCTGCCCATTCCAGCACACACCACACCATAATTCTGTACACGACACATACATGGGGGCTGAGAAGCTTTGAGGGCAACCTGAACATCACAGCCTCCACAAACTCCCTAAAAACTTCCATGAATGTGCACAGAGTTGCTGAACAGAACAGAAGACTTGCCTGTCTGACCCCAGAAGTACCACTAAGCAAATCTTGCACAGGAGAACAAACAACTTCTGCCAAGAAAACAGTTGGGATATTTAATTCTACAACTGCTATTTACTTTTCATTAACATATGGTCTTCAGAATTATATAGAAGACAAACTTCAAAGCTTTTATAATGGAGCATCTTAGGAAACCTAACTAGAGACGCAAAAGGTTTGTCTGTCATAGCCCTACAAATACTACCTTTACCATCTTACAATAATTACTACACCCTTGGTTTACATAAGCAGTATATACACAATACATGTGTTAAAAAAACAGAGTTGAAGTAGAAAGATAAGGAATGATGAGTCCTCTGAAAATGATCTAAACTTCGTATTGAGAATGTAAACATCTTCAGCTTGTAAACTTTCAGGCTTTCCAGCCACATATGAAATACATAAAGATATAGAAGGGGTAAGAAAGACTTGAAAGTCTTCCCCAGACCACAACAGCAATACACAATCAGCAAGCAACGATAATCTCATACCAAAAACTGAACATGTTTTCCTGAGTTCTGACATCCTTTTTCTGTACGTACACACTCATCAAGTCTGAAAGTGGCACAAGTAACCTCAAAATGTGTGCAAGAACTCTTACCAAGCATTTTGGTAAGACCAACTCAATTGTATGTTTGTACCCTGGTTTATGCTGTAACATATATGAAATACTATGTTCAATTCTAAGCCCTACATCTCCAAAAGGTTATTGACAAACTGGAGGCAGTTCAGAGAAAATCAACATAATTTCTCAGAAGGCAGGAAGGACTTATTTATGAGGAAAGATTAAAAGAGCTAAATATTTATAGTTTGGCTCAGTAATGAATGAGGAGGTAGGGGACATGAGAACAGCCTAGAGATATCTGAAGGGTGTAAACACTAAGGAGGGAGAGCAAACGTGTTATACAAGGATGTAAATAGAAATAATGGGATGAAACTAAACAAGGAAAACTTAGGCTGAATATCAGAGAGCATTCTTGGACAGCAAGCAAGCTTGGCCTACAGCACAGCTTCTCAAGTGAAGCAACAGAAGCCCATTGCTGGAACAACACACCAGACTAGACAAAACACTGGAAAATGTGCCATATGGAATAATCTTGCTCTGCTGAGGAGAAATAGCATGTTATAAAACATAGCTGAACTTCAGTGAAAAGCTCTAACATTTTACAAGGTGTTGAAAATTTAACATAAAATATAGATACCAACAGCTTAATCGAAAAAAAAAAAGAATCTAAGAAAATTCCTTAAAAACGAGCAACTTGCACTGAGTTTATGCAATACTTTGACAGAATTTGCAACTCTTTGAAAAGGAAAAATTCACGAGGGCTGCAAAGACTTAAACGGCGCTGGACTGCATTTTCCCCAGCAGAGGTCACTCCAAGTTAAGAAACGACAAGGATATTTAACAGCACGGATTCCAACTTCAGGAAGGAAGATCAACAGAAGGGAGACATCCTTCTTCCCTCATTCCCAGCACTGCCTTTGGATGCAAAGCTCCCAGATAACAGCATGTCCTGCAACCCACCACTGGCAGATGCCAACACATTACAACACGTGTAACGTTCAATCTGCACAACATTCAAAATTGATTTTCTAAAAGGGCCTCATGAAGTGGGTAAATATAATCTATTTGCAGCTGGATTATGAAGTGTCCAGAATCCATGTGCACATGTACAACTAAAGCCTAGGCTGGGTCATGTTTGGAACTGAAACCAAAACACTTTTCACTGAAAACTTCAGATTACATTAGTTAAGTGTTTACTGTGTGAGTCCTGTGACACAGGCAGATGGATAGGCTTCCAAAAACACAGGGGAAGGAAAATAAAAAAGCAGTTTATCTTTTTTTAAAACAAATATATACAAACAGGAAAAAAATAACGTTTTCTAACTTCAAACAGAGCTTAAAACACAATTGAAGTCAACAGAAGACCGCTATAAAATGAGTAGTCTGTGTCTCTACAAACTTTTTTATTCTTGATCCATAGAAGAGTCCACAAATCCATATTTGAGAACCATCCCTTAAAATTTCCGGAAGCTGGCAAGTAAAAACCTTGCTGTTCCAGGTGCCATCACCCCATTAAAACTTCTGCCATCTTCATAGTTAATTCCAGTGCAAGAATTATCCATGCTCTGTGCCACTGCCACAAGCAGCTGTCCCAGCGCCAAAGGAAACAGAAGTACCCAGCACATGCAGCAAACTTATTTGTGAACCATAAGGGAGCAAATATGCATAAGCAGAGCTGGAGAGTCATATTTTTGACTAGACTGTTTTAAAAGGCTGCTCATGGGCAGATTTAAGGTCCAACACTTAAACCACACAGACACTAGAATTGCTCGAATTAGCAAAATGTAAGAACTGATAGAGAGTACTTTTCATATTTCATCCAAAGGAAACAGAGGTGAACTCATGGTGAAGTATTTTCTGGAACATACTGAACTCTGGCTGCATAACTCTCCAGGGCTATGCCTGTTCCAGAGGCCAAGGGACACTTTCCAGCCCCCCAGCTCAGTGTTCTCCAGCTCTCCCAGCTCCACCACACAACCTGTCCCAGGGGCACACAGTCCCCCCACCTCTGCCACAAGGTCCTCATCTGCAGCAAAATGGAATACAAGGCACAAAACAGGGAAGGGAGACGCAGTAAACACCACTGAGGGCCACAGTCTCCACATCCTGGGGACAAGGACCTGCAGGACAAGCTGTGTAGCCTGGGATTTTCGTATGAAGGAGGTAGGCTCTAGAGTAGAAAAACTCTTAGGGATGTCAGTGAACTCCCTAAACCATTGGCTTACCGAGAGACAGGGAGCTATGTAATATGCTAGAAATAGCACAGGGGATTCCCCAGGGTTACTCATCTTAACATTAGATTTTAAAAGCTACTAATACTCAAAGAATTTTTCTGACGTGCCCAGGAGCAGACTGGTGCTCCTCATATTCCACACTTGGCTGCGTTTTCGACACAAAAAATTAAGAAAACATTGTCTCAAAAGCTATTGGTACAGACTGTGGATTTTTTACACTGTTTTTTATTTAATAAAGAGACTAACTGTAAAGTAAGATCCTAAATAAGATAAACAAAGCCTTACCTGCTTCCTTGCACAAGGCTGCTAAGTCTGCACCCACATAACCATGTGCACTATCAGCCAGCTGCACCAACTCCACCTCTGTGAGCGAATGGGGAACTTTCCTGAGAAGCTTGTGGAGTATGTCCAGGCGGTCCCGGGCACTGGGAATTCCGATCTCTATCTCTCTGTCGAAACGCCCCGGTCTGCGCAGAGCTGCATCCAGAGCGTGGGGGCGATTGGTGGCCCCCAGCACCAAGAGCTGCCCTTCACTGCCTTCCTGAAGGCATCAAACAGTGCAAAACGTTATTTTTAAAATACAAATTCTATTAAGTCACTAAATGCCATGTAGCTTATCAACAAACTTCTTGCTTACTCCTCCAACTACTACACACACTGGAATCCCGATGCTAGCTCTCAAACCTTTTAGATTATAAAGCCCATCAATGATCCCATCCAATCCATCCCTAGCTGCAATTTAGGAATACTACAGGCTGCATGAACATACAGATAATACAACAGAAACTACTCCAAGATACTCTCATCCCAGTGTCTCCCACCTGAATCCCCAAGAACCTGCTTTCCCATATCAGGAAAGCAAGAACCAAGTAAAGGAAAAGAAGTGTTCAAGCTAAAATGCAGCGTTGGTACAAGAACAAAACGGTATCAGCAGACCTTGAACAAACAAGGTTGGGAAACAGAGAAGTTAAGGTATCAAAACCAGCAGAGACAGGAGGTTATAAAGCTTCCTGTAAGTTCAGTAGGAAAAGCACCGTCAAAAATCCTAACCAATTTCTTCAAGCTCTGCTTTTGCACATTTAGAACAAGGCAAGAGCAGCTAGGAGGTCTCTTGCAGTGTCATTCTCTTCTTGTGAATGAAGCACTTTTTCCAGGAAGACTATCCACCAGCCTTTGCCATCAGAAAATATGTTCTTCTGCCTGTGACCAGCTCCAGACCGGGCAACTCAAATGCTCATGCAGGAAAATAATTAGAAACTTGCAGATTACATAAACAGCAGCAAGTTATTTTCATACTCTGGACAGGTTTCTTTCATCTTTCCTACTGATACTCACAAAATAATTGATGAGAGATTGGCAAACTTTATGGGCTTAATCCATAACTTACTCTATTAAGTTTACTGCTCCTTTAGTAGGCTTTTGTTTATGACCTAAATATTACTATGGCAATCTTGAAATAGCTGCTACTGCCTTTAATCATGCAGCCTACATATCACCAGAAGCATTTTGATAACTTTGATTTCAGAGCAATTAATATCTGGCTTAGATCAATGATGGGCTATCACTGAAATTTCAGTTTGACCTCCAAAAGTACAAGAGGGGGAGAAGGCAAAGGAGAGGCAGGGAATGGAAGAAACTTACTTGCTTTTAATCTCAGTTATCAGGAGACATTCCTCTCCTACGTCTTCTGCTTAGCACCCAAAAAAGCATTACATTACTATATAAAGTCTCACCTAAGCCTGTTTTCTTTCCCCCCAAATGACACATCTAAAATTGGCTCCGCTGTAGAAGCAAAACCGTTTTGTTCAGTGAGTCCACATACACATTAATTGTCTCAATACAGTCGACTTACTGAGCCAATGCCATCCATTAACGTCAGCAATGAAGCAACAACTCTCTTTTCCACTTCATTCTGAGCCCCTTCTCTCTTTGGACAGAGTGCATCCAACTCATCTATAAATATAATTGAGGGGCGACTGGGGGGAAAACAAAAAAGGAAAGAAAACGTTAAGGTGCTCGGGAAGATTTAAAACACCAAGGCAGAGAAGTGCAAAGCTGTTCATGGAAAAATATGCAGTTCCTAGAAAAACTAACAACCATCCAACTCCTTTAGGCAGCTAAAAGTTTCAACCTTGAATAACGAGAAAACTAAAACAACTAATACATTAGACAACTAATACCTTCCGTATGCAATAGTCTTTTGCTCATGTATTATGAACAACAATCACCTGGAAGTCTAAAACCTGCCTTAAGCAGGTCTAACAAATTTGGGCAGAACACCTCCCTACTCCAGAGGCATGCTATATCCAGTACCAACACTTAGCCTGACTTCCATGCCTTAGCACAGGGCTATGTTAGTCTCCAAAGATAAAACCAGACAGAAAAATTTGGATCCAGGTGAAACTCTGGCTCCTGCTTCCCTCTGCTGAAACAAGAGTACAATACACTGACGACACAGAGCGAGCGATTTGGCACCATCTGTAACAGCCCCTTGAAAAGGGCAGCGTCCAAAAGGATTTATTTAACAGGCAGACTAGAATTTCACTGCCTTCCTTCTAGCTAAGCTCTATATAAACAAATTTATTTCCTTCTAGAAACCACTGCAGGAAAAAGTTACAAACTCAGAGATTCCTGCAAATGTTTTTCTTCTAAGAACATTGGGGCTGGAACCGACGCTGCAAACAAAGTCACCCAGAAGGACGTACCGCAGAGAGGCTTCAGCGAAGATCTGACGTAACCTCGATTCAGACTCCCCATAAAACCTATAAGAATTAAAATATTTTAATAAAAAACATTTTTTTTTGGTCTTTTCGAAAGGCAAATGGGGGGAAGGGGGGGGGGCGTTCCAAAAAGGCCACAGCACACAATTTCAGAGTCCCAAAGTAAACGCAGATCTACAATAAACTGTATTTCCACAAGGACAAGAAAGTAAGGCCAAGATAGAACCATCTAGTAACTACAAAAAAGATTAAAGGGAAACGTCTTTTTTCTGTGTTAAAAACCATTTTATCTGAAGAACAATAAACAGTTAGTTCCCTGGAGACAGTAATCTGCGTAGTGGCATCTTAACTGCAAATATGGTTTAAGAAGTAACTCTTCTTGTTGCAGAACTAACCTACACACAATTGTAGATGCAGTTCCAGTCTCCTCTTTAATTTAGTCAAATTTCTTGGTCAAGTCCAATAAACCTCTTTAAATACAAGAAACATAAGCCCTGCTTGAGAGAACCCTTTCTCGCTTGTTTTTGACTCCTTTGGGCAGACAGCCCATAGCCAATACTACATCTATCCCCGCTGGAGACATGCCAGGATAGATTTTGGGCTGATACATTTATAGAATTAATGAAAATAAAATGGGTGGACTTACTTGCTTATTATTTCAGGCCCATTAATAACAGTAACGTGAGCGCCAACCTCATTTGCGATGGCTTTGGCAATCAGAGTCTTCCCGGTGCCTGGAGGGCCATATAACAGCACTCCTCGAGGAGGAGGGATTCCTTTGGACAAGCACATGCACACAAACAGAGAAAAGAAGTTCCTTGTGAGAAATGCCAGACTAAACCTGCACTTGCACGTTTCGCTGTCCCAGTTATTACCAATAAATCTGACCCCAGCATTAACCAAACAGACGTGTCATCGTGATAAAATGACACGCCTGTTAAAGGCTTACAGTGAAAAGATCACTCTTAAGTGGGACATACATCTATGTTCTTTATTTTTAAAGTCTAAAAGATTCTGTTCAAAAAACAACTCCTTAAATAATTGTATTTTTCAGTTCCCTTATGTGTGTTGTGGTTTTTCTCTAAGACATTATTGGACTGAGTACCTAACATCCATGAATAGACTTTAAGTTATTAATGATTCTTACAGTGTCATTACATCAAATTTCCAACATCAGAAAACCACTTCTCTTTAACACTTCAAAAGAATTTCAGAAATACTCTGAGGCTTGATTCAAGAACACTTGCAAGATGATGGAAAACACACATCAGAAGGGTGAATTTGTCTATTTAATGGCAAATGTTAAGAGCCAAAAAGAGAGAAATGTTCAGGCACAGCACGTAAGGTACTGCTGAGTACAGCTAGAGCTGGACAGAAAATACAGGTAACTGCACAAAGGTACTATTATGATCCCAGGTAAAGAGCCCACCAAAACAAGTTCCAGACCAGCAAAGTCAAATTAAATGGGCACAAAGTCAAAATCAGAAGGTGAAAAATTAAAAAACCAAAAAGCAGAGACAAGTGTTTGACAAAGGACTGCCTTTGGCAAAAAAAGACATTGGTGAAACACAACCAAAGAAACATCAGGTGGGGACTGGGAATCAGACAGGGAACGATGTCACAAGTCTGAATCTTAGAAACTAATACACCTGAAAAGAAAAAAATTATCAGCCAACTGACAGAGGATGGAAGTAAAAGTGTCTTCAGGAGCAGGTTCCCTCAGAGCAGTCCAATTAAAGCATGAGCTGCTCCCTCCTGTGGCGTTTCTGGCACGGGCAAGAAACGGTACTGTGGAACCACAGGCTCACCTCACTGCCAGGCTCGCTCCCCGTGAGCAAAGACTCACAGCGTTGGGATGGTTACTAAAGGTTTGTAACTGCTGAGGAAACACCATCATCTACCACGTAGTTAGTAGGGAATCTGCTCAAGCACTTTTGGGACCGGGTATGAAGAATGCTGACACTGAAGCAAACTTTGTGCTAACACAAAACCACGTGCTGATGCTGAGGCTGGACCAAATTAAGCTGGGGCACACGTAGATGAAGATGCCTCAGACCACCTCACTGACACCTGGGGATCACGGCCAAGAAAGAGCCACCTGTGTGTTATGGAAACTGTCCCAGCTGGAATCACCTCCTCTCCAGAGTGAGTGTGTGGGAAGAGGTAAAGGCAGAGCAATAAAAAGCCTCAAAGACATGATATTAAAGCCATGTTTGTAGGTAAGAGCCCTATCTCACTGCGATGCACACCTAGACAAGGTACACATCCATTTGTGATAAATACACAGTACAGTTTTAGCTTTGTCACAAAAACCCTCTGAGTTCATATATGTGTTAGATATAACTTTATATATGGCAACTGTAATCATATTCATTTTTCCACCCTGTAATTCACAGAGGAAGGACTCAAACTCCTCATACACTGAAGAGCTTGAGTAAACAGCCCCAAAGACTTCCTGAAAATTTTGCAGGAAGCCTACAACCAGGGATAAAAACAGCAGAAGAACTAATCTGACTTTTTCTCCATTTAAAAAAATATCATTAACTGACTCTACCAAAATGAATTAAAATCTTACAACAACTCAAAGAATTGCACCTTTGAAACACCCAAGCAAAGAAGTCTTTCCTATTTGCCAAAAATTCTGCTTATGCACACCTGAATTTTTGTACAGACGCACATTTCTTCTCTGCTCACCTATTTTTCACACAAGCTCATTGTAACATCTTCACAGTACCCATACAGTATAACCATAAAGCAGCTTGACATTGTTTGGACACACAAGTATACCAGGTCAGTGTTGCATAAAAATCAGTGCATGCTCCTGGGATAATGTGTGGTGGGTTTGGGTTTTTTTTTTTGTTTGTTTGTTTTTTTAAAAATCAAATTAAAGAAGAAAACTGGTATCAAATGAAGAAAACCAACTCTTTAGGCATCATACCGTAACTCTTGAACAGTTCAGGTTGCTTCAAGGGCAGTTCAACTGTTTCTCTAATAGTTCTGAGCTGGCTGCTCAAACCTCCTATCATGTCATAGGTGACTTGGGACTCACAGTCGCCATCTTCTGCTACACTGGTCCTGGGTTCTATAAAATTGATCCTAGTTCTTGAAGAAATGAAATAAAAAGAGTCTGTACTGCTCATTGCTCCGGTTACTGGGAGTCCCTCACTGCTGCTTTTCCCAGCTGACTCCGAATCCTCGGTGAGGTCTGCACCATCTCCCTCGCTGTGGGTTTTCTCTCCCTGACCAGAGTCTGGACCACTGGCTGTCACAGAACTGGGTGTAACTGGTGAGCCTGGATCCATTGGTTTGCTTGGTGTGCTCAAAGATGCAACCCCTGGACTGTCACCAATGTCCATCCTGCCGAGCTGTAGGGACAAATTCAAGGCACTTGTCTCCAAATCAGATCTCTCAAAGTCTGGGTCACTGGGAATGGCACTGCCCTGGGCACTCAGCTCTGCACCATCAGTTCCTTTCACTCTCATCACCACGATGTTGCACAGTTTGCCATAGAAAGTGAAAGCCAAGAGGTTTCCTGGTAGAACTATTTTCCCATCTATGAGAAGATGAAAGAAGAAAAAAGACAAAGAAGGTGGCATTTCAATCTACTGTGGCAGCAGTAACATTCAGACATTCTTGCATTAGAATAATTCTTTATCATTCATTTAGAGAATGCTGTTCATTAACATAACAAAAGGTACTAACATAATTTCAAGGTAATTTCAGGTACTTTGAATGATCCCTTTGTACACAAGCAGACTTTACTGGACAAACATTTGTCAGCATCATATGTAATCACTCATACTAAACTCGTCATTAATTTGAGTCTCTTAAATTTCACACAAAGGGAGATTATTGGAATTAGTATTGTAAGAAGTAAAAATTTTGTATTTGCTGTGCACCTGATAATATTTCATGTTCAACCCACTTTCTTTGAGAGTATTGGCCTAAAAAAAAAACCAGGTTTTAGCCTGTGCATTGACAGAGAGATGAGGCAATGTGATCTGAATATACCCTACAGGCACAAAAAAAAAAAAAAAGAAAAAAAAAGGCAAAGCATGAACAAGATTTCCAGCCAAACTCATGAATTTGCAATGCAGTTCAAGTTTCCTGCTTCCTGGAGTAGCAATAATGTTATTAATTCCTAGACTAGAAGATTCCCTTTGAGTAGAACAATTTGTAGTGAGGAACACTACCTTGAATAACTTACCTTTTTTTTTTTGCCTTACTTACATTTATCTACCACCCAATAAAGAGCAATTTTACTTATTTACCACCAACATAAAAAAGAGATTCAGAGACTGGGATTTCAGGCTAATACTGATACTTTATCTTGGTTTTAGTGTATCATATTGCAGTCTTGTCTTCACAGTGCAAGTGGACTCTGAACTGTGCCACAATATCAGCCAGAAGGCCATCAATGACTGTTGAAGACTCCTAACTTGAACCAGACAAAAGTATAATGGACAGAAGGAAGAGAGCCACAACTAACACAAATTACACATTTACAACATGGCAAAATTATTTAGCCCGAAGACAAAATTGTTTAGCCCAAAAGAAGCGTAGACAAAATAACATCCCCTATTTTGCCATAAGCCCTTGATTAAGACCATGAGAGGAAAATATTTGCTCTTCTAACCAAGACCTGATGACCTACTACGAAAATTGAACAGGCAAAAGAGAAGGGGCAAAACTCATACCAAGGTTTCTCAGCAGACACACAGACATTTCCTCGGCATTAACGGTGGCATCTTTGTCCCTGTGGTAGGAAAGAAGAAAATTACTTTTCCAAGCAATAACTACTTCAAAACCAAACCAGAGGCCACAGCACTAAAGCATCAGGATCACCTGTTTTAGGGTATATGACTTAAGCCCACAAACAGAAAAGACATATGAGTACTTCAGTCTTCAAATAACAACATGTTAACTCTGAAAATATTACACACACAGCAACAAAAGAAGCGTAGCTATTTCATCTGGGGTTTGAGTGGTTTTTTTCCAAAGCAAATGCTGTAATTAACAAAATGCTAAATTAGATTTATTGTTTCTTAGGATCACGAACCTGCAATGCAGGCTTCTCATCTCACCAGGCAGAACAGCCATTGCTACGTTTACTGAACTGAAAACAAATCAGATAAGGCAGGTCTCTTTCAGCCCTGCAAACACACGTGCAAATCTTTCAGTCGATTAAAACAGTGCCTTGAGCACTTGCAAAACTGTGCACATGCCTTAAACACTGCACATCCACTACCAAAACAGTACAAGTCTTCCCCACAAAGCATTTGCTAGTCTTTTATTTAATTAAGTGACTAAACAGATAAGACTCACTACATCCATTCCACAGCTTTTCTAAGCATTTACACCTGTACCTTCAAAGGCACCACACCAAGAGGGGAACGGCAGCAGCACCAAAGGCGTTTAAAGCAGACACAGATGCTGCAAATCAAGGCTTGATCAGCGGGGGGAGCCCTAAACCTGCAGATGAAAACCCATTGCTTAATTCTACTGCTCAACAAAGGAACTTGGGGCACAGAGCTGTATTAAGCTAATTTAAAGGAGAGCCCTTAAAATATCATGGCCTTTCCTGATGAGTAAGCACATACTCAATTTTGTTGTTGGGGCCTGAAGTTGAGGGTGGATTTTTTTAACTCGAAGAAAAAGCTGAATTATGCGTGCAAGCAGTACCCAGAGGTGTTGATTTGCAGAGAATAAACTTCACCTGCAAAACATCTAGAAACCCAGGGAGTACTCGAATAATGGAACTTCAGTTCATTCTTTAAATAATTTGTATTCTTACACCATAGTTTGTAGTAAATGACAAGGCTTGAAACAGACCAATTACAGTTTTCATGTTTTCTCTCCTAATTTTAGAAAAGCAGTCATTTATGAGACTTAAAAATCTGAAGGTACATCTATAAAACAATCCTCAGAGCCTGACTCTTGATTCACTGAGTGGGAAAACTCTGGCTATGGAACAGTTTCCTAAAAGAAAAATAAATCACAGTAATCATAAATATTTCAAAAGCTACATGCAATTCCTCTGACCTCATTCTTAGCTTGTATTTCAGTAAAAGTCACAGCTTCAAAAAAAGAATGCATTGCATATTAAAATGGAGAAATAGAAATATATTAGTTTTAATTATTTAATTCATCATGGGGTTGCGTTTTTTTAACAAAATGCATGTTTTCAACCACCTCTGTAACCAAAGCCATGTTTGAAGACAGAGTCTGACAGGAAAGTGATGCTAATTTATAAAAATATAAGTGCTGGGACACTTTCAAAAGCAACTGTAAAATAACTTTAGGAAATAACTATAATCAGATTCTGCATCAACCCAAATGTTGACTCTGTGAAGTGTTAGAATGGCAAGTACAGGAAATCATTCAGCAAATCAATAAACTGCTGATTTCTCAGAGCATTCATGATTTTCAGACAACTGTGATTTGTACCTTTGATTTCCTTTTTCACTTATAAACAAAAACACACCTCAGAGTTTCCAATCCTAAAAAAAAAACCAAAATCCCCAAAAAAACAAACCTAAATAAAAGCAGAGGACAAAACCACCATATATAAAGGTGAAGTTTTGAAGGGAAATGGTTAAAAAAAAATAAAAATCACTCTCTTCAACAAGGCTATAAGAAGTTCCATACCTCAACTTTACATCGACTTCCTCTGCCTGGATGACTGCACCAGTCACAGGCTGCACAGTGACACCATCACCTGGATTTACTTTCAGGTTCTTCTGCGTGGTTTCATTCAGCCCAATCTTCCCACCTGGAAAGCCTGCAGTGGGCCAAGCAGTACAGACCTAGGAAGAGTTTCCAAAGTAAGTCAGTTGAGATTTCCCCCCCCCCCCATTTCCAGTTAAGCTAAGCAACACTTGATTACAAAAATATGGGCTGAGGGGAAGGATTAGGTTAAAACCTGGTGCCACAGAGCAAAATACAAGTAGCATTGAGCTCTTAAGACATGATTCAAGACACTCCAAGAAGGAAGGGGTTGTATTTTGAAAAAAAAAAAAAAAACAGCAGCATGGACTTTTCCCAGCATTGAAAATGAAGATGTAAATATCACACAGAAAACATGGAAGAGCACGTTCACCATCTTTCTCAATGCATGTTCCATGTTGATCCCACTGAATACAGCAGGAAAACGCTGAAAAGCACAGGAAAAGCCCTTATGGGAGCAAGAAATGGTCTCACCTCCTGTCGCCCATCAGCTGAGGTGAGCAGGGCCGGCCGCCCTATGCAGAGCTCCGCAGACTTCATGCTGCTCAGCGACAGCTGCGCCAGGGTTCTGCGCAGCATTTTCGGGACTTTGTCATCTCCTGAGGTTTTTAGGGGGAAAAAACAGTCGTTTTTTTCCCCGCTAAATCCAGCATTTCCCGCCCTCCCCAACCGGTACAACAACAGACCCCTCCCCAGCCCTCACGGCGCCCGCCCTGAGGGGAGCGCGGGGACTCCCGTGAGGGGGAACCGCGGGGCGGGGACGCCGACGGGGCTGGGAGAACGCCCGCGGTCACACGCTGCTGCTCGGTACCGTACCTTCCACCCCGATCTAGCTCCCGCTCCACGGGAATAGAGAGCAGATTTCACGGGGGCCCAGCCGACTTTGCCCGAGAGAACCCCCCGGTCCCGCCTTTGCGAGCACGGCTCGGCAGGGACTCAGTTTCAAACGAGGCGCCCTCAGCGCGCCGCGCTTGGGCAGCCGGGGCTGCGAAAGCCCGTCCCCGAGCAAGCCCCGTCCCCGCCGCCCGCACCCCCGTACCTGCCTCCACGGCGTCGGCGACCCGCAGCGCCAGCGGCCCGCCCTCAGCAGCGCCGAGGGGAGCATCCCGCGGGGAGCCGCCAGCCGCGGCCAGGCGCCCCTTTGCTCTTCCTTTTGGAAGAGGAGGCAGACATGCTGCCCGCTGCCGAGTGGTTCCGGAGGCAGAGGCCGGCACCGCCCGGGGCGGGAGGCTCCGCGCCCCCGCCCCGTGGGTGCCATGGCGCGGCTGTGCGCGGGCGCTGCGGAGGCGCGGGGCTGGGCGGGTCCTGGCGGGCTGCGGGGCGCGGCCGGACAAAGTTCGGGGGGTAAGCGTGGACCTGGGCGAGCTGCGCCAGCCCCCGCGGGTGGAGCGGGCCGCCTTCGGGCGTGGCTGCGGGGCAAGTGCCGGGCGGGGGCTCCCGGGGCAAGCGGGGGCGGCGCTGGGGGGCGCTGTGTGAGGGCCGGTGGGCGCTGTGTGGGGGCCGTGGCGCTGTGTGAGGGGGGCGTGTGAGGGGCCGGTGGGCCTGTGTGAGGGGCCGGTGGGGTCCCGGGGAGCAGCTCCCCTCAGCCGCCGCCTTTCCCCTCACGGGCACAGAGCCGCGGCCGTGCGGCGGGGAACGCCGGCTGGAGGGAGCGGAGGGCGCTCACAGAGCCACGGAATTGTCAGGGTTGGCAGGGACCTCTGGAGATCATCCAGTACAACCACCCCTGCCAGGGCAGGGTCACCTGGGGCAGGTGACACAGGAACGCGTCCGTGTGGGTTTGGATTGTCTCCAGAGAGGGAGACGCCATGACCTCCCTGGGCAGCCTGTTCCAGTGCTCTGCCGCCCTCAGCGTAAAGGAAGTTCTTCCTCGTGTTGAGGTGGAACTTCATGTGTTTTAGTTTATGGCTGCTGCTCCTTCTCCTGTCGCTGGGCATAAAACTGCAAGGAGTCTGATACTGTGCTCTGGTGAAACTGAGAAGAGTCTGGCACCGTGCTCTTGGCACCCACCTTTGGAATATTTATATGCATTAATAACATCCCCTCTCCATGGTCTTTTCTCCAGTCTAAACAGGCCCAGCTCCCATCATCTCTCCTCGTAAGAGAGATGCTCCAGACCCCTCACTGGACCCTCTCCAGTAGCTCCTTCTCTTTCTTGTGCTGAGGAGCGTAGGACTGGACACGGTACTCCACATGAGTAGATTCCCCTGGGCCTTACAGGAGACCCTGACAGAAAAGCCATTATTTCACGTGTGAATACCAAGTTGTACCACATGAAATGTCAAGCTGCCAGCCCGTGTCGTTGCTGGCACCTTCCTCACACCAACAGTAGTTTGACCCTGTAAATGAGGTGAATATACACGATAACCCCGGTTGTTGTGCGCAATAAGGTTTAAAACCACACAGATCAGGGGCAAGGGGGGGCTGTCTCTGAGCGGTGGCTGTGGCCCTGACCCTCCTCACTTCCCTCTCTTGCAGAGTCCGTGGCTCAGTGGCGGCAGGAAGGTCGCATTGCCGTCTGGCTCCGTGTCCCCATCCTCCAGAGCGGCCTTGTGGCAACAGCTGCTTCCCAAGGCTTTGCTTTCCACCACGCCGAGCAGGGCTCATCCACCCTGACGCTGTGGCTGGGAGAGGGGCCCAGCAGGCTGCCAGGGTTTGCCACCCACCAGGTGGGTGTTGCAGGTGAGTTACAGGAGTGATACCCACAAAAAGACTTGAACAAGCCCTTAGGACCAGTAGGAAATGGGCTGGTCCTCTGGACAACCAGCACATGGAAACCAGCTACCAACTACTGTTGGGGTGACTTTACAAAGGGAAGTGTGTCATTCATGAATGTGCTTGTACAACAGCATATGTGGCTAAAAACAGCCAGATGGAGGTTTCTCAAAACAATTCCAGTTGGAGAAAATTGTGAAGAAAATGTGGTCCTGAAGCTGTAGAATGGGAGCTCATGAATATTGCTTTTAAACACCATTCTGAGAAAGGTGTTGTCTTTTCACCTTGCAGGTAAGTGAGAGTAAAGATTTCAAGCAGTGTTTTAAAATGAAGAAGTAACCACAATCATAGAGAAATAAAAAAGCATTTCTCTGCTCGCTCTCCTTGCTGTAGATGCTTAATATATGAATCTGCTTAACCTATGCTCACATTAAGGTCTGTAAATGGGGACAACTTGACCTAACAGGGATTGGTTCAGAAGCTAAAACAACTATTAGCTGAAATTACAGTGGTCTAAAAGCTGCTCTGTGCCGAGAAGTCTGTATTCCAAACAAATATATTTTACAAGCAAACATCTGGACACCATAGTCTTAACCAACTAGAACTCCCACAATCACGGTTGGAAAGAAGTTGTTCCATAACTGAGAACATTTGCAAGGAACTAGATAAGATGGTTCCCCTTTTTGTTTGTTTGTTTGTTTGTTTTCTTTGTATAGCACAGTACAAGGAACTGATGATGAGCCAAAAAAACTTAGCTTCACCAAATTCGAGTGTCTTAGCACTGTCTCTCTGCAGAGTTCCACAGGTATGCCACTGCCTATCCCATCTCTCAGTAATCTGTTATTTGGAGGTTTGTTTGGACCCCTCGTGTAAAGGTTACTTTAACACTCAGAAATTATGGGATAGGGAGAGCAAATCTCTCCAATTACAACCTTGACTTGTTTGTCCTTGCCTTGCAGGGACTGTGTGGGACGTTATTTCTTCACCAAGTAGTGTTAAGACCCATAAATAGCAATTTGACAAACCTAGTTAGGAAGAACTCACAAAAGATGGATTGTTCGGTGTGGCAGCAGGTCAGGTGAAAATAAGTTTCGGGGAAAACGCCTTGAATTACAAAACAGTTCTACTGCCATCGGCAGTGGGAGCCTTCCGTTCCACGGCCAGCAGAGGGCAGGGTGGAAGCCGAAGGCGGCCTTGGATTTTGTCAATGGGCATGTTGGAGCATGTTTTCCTGAGGTATGGAAACCTCACCATTAAAATATGTGGCATTAAATTGGAGCAGGATAGCGCATTCCCTCAGCAGAAGCTCCGCGTTACTCCTTGTGGTTGTAACCCGAGTGCTTGAGGAAACGGGACTAATTGAGAGGGGTTTTTTTTTCTGAAGTTAAGACCTGCCCAGCTGAAAATGTCGTTTGGAAGAAAATCATGTAAAAGATGTGTTGTGACCCCAGCAGGTGTCAGGAAGGACCTCGTGTAAGAGAAATCATAACTCTTGAGAGACTCTCAAATAAGCATTTGAAAATACAGAAAATGCACTTTCAGAGCATAATTTGCAGTTCCACTTTGAAACACTTGGCACTCTGCAAGTAGGAAAAAGTTTGAGGAGAGGAAAAATTTCACAAGTGCAGGTAGATGGATTTCATGACTTATTGCACAGATTTAAAAACTGCAGAACATAAAATGTCTGTATTCTTTGCTATCACTTTTCAAACCTGTGCATTTTTACTCATTATTGGGAGGTTTTTTAAAAGAGGAGTTAAGGAAGGCATTTGGGGCATGTAGACAAGCAGATTTCTCTGTGAAATAATGATTGCTATGTGGTTTTTTTCCTCTATTCCACTCACTGTCAGTGGAGATGGAACACATCCCAAGAATACACTGAGCAGTGTGGCTACCACCTGGAATATGTTTATTCCATTAGCTTTCTACTTTAGGACGGAGAGCTTGGGTAGTGGAAGGGCTTCATTCTATTTTTAATTAATTTTATTCAAATATTAAATTATATAAATATGCTCTTTTATATTTTGTGGGTGGCAAACCCCAGGCATTTTTATTTCCTGAACAAAAAAAAAAAAAAGTATTTTTAAAAGTATCTGCAGTAAAGCAATTTTCTGATGAGAATCTCCATCTCAAAGCTGTGGCCAGTCAGTGAAATACAGGACTCAGTCCCTTGAGCATCCTGGAAATGAAAAGCAGAGACATGGAGAGTGGTTGGCTGGCCAGAGGGAAACCAGCACAGGGAGCAGGCAACAGGTAGCAGGTCTCATTGCCAAGTAGACCAGCAGCTGGTTTTCCTGCTGTCTGGAGTTTCCCACGCAGGGAACGCTGCACAGCCAGGGCTTGTGCCTCGGGATGGTCCAGCCAAGTGATGACAAAGGTGTGAATAAGCGAGGTCAGGTCATACTTGACCAGACTGGATGAGAGTCGCCAAGCAGAGAGCAGCAAACGTTACTCACTGGGCTTGGCCATTATTGTTTGGAAATAGTGGAACATGTGATGTGTCTCCCAGCTCACTCGCTGCATCCGTTTGTAGGCGGCAGGATTTTCCACATGTGTAAAGATACAGGAAAGTCTCTGGTGTATGAAGTGATTAACATGTTTTGCAGAAGCATTTCCAACATTCTGCACCTCCTGGGAGGAATTGGTCTACCACCCAGAAAAGGGACGTGTTTGTAAACATGCCACGCAACAATGGCACAGGCAGACAAGTTGAGGAAGGAAAGTGAAAGGAGAGGAAGAAAAGTTAAAGTCATTTATTCTCTTCTCCGTCACAACAGCTGTAAGCCTTACAACACAGCTGTTATTTTCATTGCTACCTACCTTAATCTACTTATTGAATCAAAGTCCTTGGAGTCCACACACACTGAGGATTATCAGCCTTAGCCAGTCCTGTTGCTTAAGGAAATGGGTAAAATGAGCAGCTGCGTTAATGTGAAACTGCACAGGAAGGTTATGATGGCCCAAGGAATCAAAAGTGATTTAAAAGTAGTTCCCGAGTTGTTTTACAAACACCTGCTCTTGTCTGCTGCCATTTACAATGCCAGCAGTTGTGCATGCACTCATGTGGTCGACAAGGTAGGATGAAGATATTTTTCCCCTCCATTACTCATTACCTGGAGTTGTCTAAGGGATTTTATTTTTTTAATGCTTACCTGTTTCCCAAAAGAGAACATTCAAAACAAAGCGGTGTTGTAATACTGAGTACTTGGCTGGGTTGTAAGTATAAACCTTTCCAGAAAGTCCTGGTGTTGGATGCTTTAAAGCTCCAGGTACCACATTTGTAGCAAGGGGGAGAGTTTTTAAAACTGCAGTTCAGGGCCTGCAGTCAAGCTCTGATCTCACTGATACCAACCAGGTGCTGCAGCTCAGGACCTTCTGAGCTACTCTTGGGAACACGAGACCAGACAGCAAATCCTGTTAGTGTTCTTCCTTTCGTTTTGCTTTGGTTTTAGGTATCCTCTAGCAGAGATTCTGATCATCTTAGTGACCATTTCACTGCCAAAAAATGACATTTCAGGGGAATAGAAACAGAGAAGAGAACACATACTTTCTGCTTGACACTTTGCAGTTTCCTGCCTGCAGCAGTTCTCCCTGGTCTCAGCAAACCATTTGGCTGAACAATGGCTTTACTAGAAAACAATCCCAGTAATCACAGCTTTCATCAAAGTTACTCCTGTTTTCCTTTTGTTCCCTCTTTAATCAGCAGAGTACTTGAACCTGGACACTGCTAAATATTTACAGGAGGAATGAAATCATACCGTCACAAGCCAGGGGGAGGCAGAAATGTGACTACCCTCCCAAAACATGTCCTTTGGCATATCTTGAAGGAAGACTGGTATTTCATCCTTTAAATGTTCCTCCTACACAGAAGTCTGCCATGTATTATTAAAAAAACAGAGGGTGTTGTGAGCTGGACACTCATTCTTTAATAATTCCCTTCTGTGGAAATATTTCCCCAAAGCATTTTAAATGCATATATCACAAATCTGCCTGTATATTCTTCCTCCTGCTGTAAAATGACAGAAGCATTTTTTTATAGTTAACTACTAATTTGAAACCCATGCATGACTGATGTGGAAAAGAGCCTGGTAAGCTGCACCACAGTACTCGTTCTGCTCACCACAGGACTCTTTAAAAATCTGAGAAAAATGCCTGTTTTAAAGGAAGGACGTTTTTAAATAGGACCAGTGAGTGTGACATGATGATTAAACATGAAAGCAGTTGGATTTTAGAAAGTAGGAAAATTCGTAATCTGCAGGAGAAAGTCATGGGCTGAGCATGAGGACATAAGGAAAAGCTGCACTTTTCAGTCAGACATCCTGAGGTGTTTTTTTTAAAAAGTGGAAGTGTCACTTTTCCACTTGGAAGCAACACTTTTTGGTTAACAAGTTGACTCAGATTATTTTGAGTTCCTGTCATGAGTTCATAGATAGTCACCCAGCTGAACATTATCAGCACCAGGAGCCCCCTGAGTAGTAAACCTTGTGTGCCATTAACCAGAAAACACTCAGATCTTCGCTACAGCAGGTGGGAGTTCTGTCATGAATTTCACTGGAGAAAAATTCTTACCCCTTAAGGGTGGCTTCTCGGCCAGAGTCACTGGAAAATTTTCTGTTCCTTGAGCAAGATTACAGGCACGTCTCTGCTGCAGCTTTGCTAGATTGTTTGGGTGACCTCTTGATCTTGCATTCTTTAGTTCTGATATTAACACAAGCAAGTTTTTCTTTTCATTTCTTGTCTAATCTGGAACTTAGATGTTGCAATTATTTGTCTTGGTACTGTGCTAACTCTGAATTTTTATACAGGGTACTTAACCTTTTTGTGATATTTTATTGTGTATCAGTTTTCCACCAACAAGCCACTTTGTGATTCATCTAAACAAACCTTGCCAACTGTAAATGGTATCATTAGGGGTTTGCTATGCTTTATCAGAATGCATTAGATTTTAGTTGTTAAGATTGGACATAGTTGTCCAGCACTGCATTTTTTCAATCTTCTTTCTCTACTAGGTGCTGTTCTAGATGAAAGCACTGGAAAGGTCCTGGTTGTACAAGACAGAAATAAGGTAAGTTTGTTACACGATTATAAAATAGAGAAGTTCATTTAGATAATCTTGCTCTGTAGTATAAAACAAAATATATGTTTATTTTTATACCAGTCCAGAATTGTGATAGTTTAAAGTTACTTCCTTTTACGAGTGTCTTGGAACACATCTATCAACAGATTGCTGTATTCCATTTTAAGGGAATAAAAAAGGGCTTTGAAAATCAAGGCCTTTATTGTTAATTATAACAGATGATTGACTCAGCACTGCTAAGTATCCTCCTTGCTTTGAATTTTTCTTCTGTAACTGACCCAAGAGTCCCCAGTCATGTGTTTGGATCCATGCAGACCTCTGGAAAAACCCCACGGCTCAAAACAGATTTTGTGAGGAGGAGGTTGCTGATTTTGTTTGGTTTCAAAAATTCCAGGCATGCCTGTGGCTTTAAATAAGCCATGCCATGGTTGGCCATGACCTGGAGAGCACCTTAGTACGGCAAGTGTAAAGATCCCTAATTCCTCACAAACGGGGAATGCCAAACCAGAGCATTAGTGTGGGGATGGTGGGTCATGTGATGTGGCTTGAGGTCACCAAACATCCATCACTGGGAATGTCTTCCAGCCCCCATCAGGCTAACCTAGGCTTTTAATCCAGCAGCTGCAGAAAGCTCACTGGCTCAATGGCAGTTGCCTGTGCTGCGCTATTCCACAGAAAAGGCATTTAGCTTCCATTATGCTTTCATTTGCAAAGTGTCTCCAGTACAGTGAGATTTAACTGTAGTTTTAACATGAAACGATCAAACCTAGGTGGACTGAAATACACTTGGATGCATCACTTCCATTTTATGTAGTTAAAACTATGTCAGAATCTCACTGGCTGCATTTTTCTGTCTTTCCTGAAATAGCTACTAGGACATTTCTTCCCAGGACCAAAACATCAGTTCATTAGTAACTACAACACAGTTAATGAACTTCAATGAAAGGGTGCTTTCATGGGCAGGTTCAATTATACAACATGTTGAATTTCTAACACAAAAGACAAAGGTGTTTCTCTTCCTCTGAACTCCTTTCCTGCAATTAAAGATTTTTATTTTTTTATTTTTACTTACAATAAATAAAAACACCAAGGACTTTTCTATAGCAGGACCTTCAGGCTTACACTGAGAAACTACCAGTTAAAGCATGAACCTACCCCACATGCTGTAGGCTCCAGAAGTGGTTCCAGTTCTAGAGAGTGTCTAGGAACAGGACAGGACGTTGTAAACTTTAGGAACATGACCTTTATTTATCCTTCTTACACACAGAAATATAAAACTGCATGCTTACCGTTTAGTAAGGATCTTAAACATGTCTCAAAGAATATCTGCATATTTAGAAGGAAATAGTAGTTTCCTAAGCCCAGGAGGTGTGAGGCTTGACTTGACAGGCATTTTCAGTGCAGGTGTCTCTACCCATTCTGCAGTGACATCAGATGCTCTAATTTGGGTACTGGGTTCAATTCCATACTGACCAGGCATTACCTCTTTCACCTCTGGCCCCAAAACACAAAAGGACCAGTCTGGCACTGCCCTTCCCCGTTCCCTCAGCTCATTCTGAAAAGTGGGATATGCCAGGTCAGCTATTTCAGCTCCCCTTTCCAGAACAAAGCTGACAGTGCAGCAGGTAAGAAAGGTGAAAGGAAAAAAGTGATTGTTTCTGACTCTCCTCTTTCCAGCTCTTTATTGACTGGGTAAAATTAAGTCTAAATGCTGAAGTGTATGAACATCCATACATTCCTTGTGCAGTGAGCAAATATCTCAGTGCAAGCAAAGAGCTCAGACAGTTGTTTCCCACTGTCGGTTCCACCACTTCTTTCCCTTCTCTTTTCCCATAAAATGAAGTTTCCCCGAAATGGTGTCTTTTAAAATAAAGGATGTTCTGAAAGCTTAAAAAACATAATTAAACAGCTGGCAGAATTTTAAGAGCTGTTTAAGTTTAATCGTGAAAGGACAATTCCACAGCACACAAAGATTTCCAGGAACCAAAAGCAAATCTGGAAGCCAGCAGACAAATATACGTATTTTCCATCTGCACTATTTTTAATCTATTACTTCAAAGTCCTATCCAAGCCCTTTAAGAATGCCCAGGAAAAAAAAACATTTTCCAGTGTAGTTGTTGGGGTTTCAAATCACTGGAAAGCAGAGAGCTTTCCCCCTCTATACTGCATGGACAAAAAAGCTTTTTTTTTTTGGCCAGTGTGCTTTTTTACTGCGTTAATTTTCTAGGTGAAGGGTAACTTCTTCCTACATAAACTTTTAATAAGGAAAGAAATAAAAAATACAGAGAACTAAAGCCTACAAATCTTCATGCATTTGCAAGAGGTGCAGGGACTGGGACTCCTTTAGCAGTATAAGTAACAACAGCAAGTCTCCACGTTCTAATACTGAACTTTATTGCAATTCAATAAATGTTTCTATATATAAATCACACAAAAGCCCTCAGTTTTTGTATTCCATGAAAATGACAAGTTACACTAAATGATTATTACAGACACAAATTGTCATCTTAAAGCCAGTGCAATATAGAACAGTACTACAATCATAATACCTGTTGGTAAGATTAAATATATATACATTTTTTAAAAGCCAAAACCATGGAAGGGGAATACATTAGTGATTAAATATAAGATTATATTGTCTATAGCAGCTTTTCTTTAATACTCAACTACTCTATCTAGCAGCAACGTTGTCTAATGACTGTTAGACAGTCTGTATTTTCAGTCAGTAGGTGTTTTGTTCCAATAGTTCATACAGACTGTAGCTGTCTCTGATCATCACCTTAGCAGGAATGAGTAAGTTCCTACTTCCTGCTGTTTGTAGGAGTCATAACAATACTACTGCAACTTCAAGAAAACAAGTCACATATTAATTATCTCCTTCATATTTGAGAGTACAACACAGGCTGTATCCTTCATTAATGTTTTCTCCTCCAATACAGACTATAAATGCATGGAAATTTCCAGGAGGTCTGTCTAATCCAGGAGAAGACATTGGTAAGTCCTAGGAAGACAGGTCAGACATCAGCAGAGTTACAGAGACATTAACACTACTGAAATACAGCATGACCCACACCACTCCTTTGAATTTGTTTCTTTGAATTAATGGTGAGCAGATGAAGTGACATGATCCTGTGACCTTAATGGTAATTGGGTAACATTATACTGGTAACACTGGGTAACATTTGGGGCAAAGAAGTTTTGTATTTATGACATTTACTCTTTTCCACAATGTCTCTTAAGTGAGTGCTTGAAGTCAGCTGACTTTTTGTGGGCTTGTTGGATATGCTGTAATATGAGCCAGAAGTGCAGAGGATTAAGGTAATCAGCATATTAACTAAATAAAACTGAAACAGGGAGCTCTCGGCTCACACTGAAATCCAGGGCAGTGACCTCAGTGATGCACTGAGCAAAAATTTCCAGCTCTCCATTTGTACATGCAAACCAGAATTAAATACAACTTTTGCTTCCTCCCACCCTCATTCATTTGATTTGTTTGGACTAAGAGCTCTTGGCACAGGGCAGCATTAAGTGCAGCAGCTCGGTCCTGTGGGCACCTACTCAACCAGGGACATAAAGCTCTTCTGTATTAAGAAATAATGCTGATTTGAGGAAACCTCTCATTTCTGCCCAGCGTAGCACAGGTGATGACAAGCACTGGTGCAGTTCTGGTCAGTGGTGAATGAACAAGGCTGTTTATGAAGAGAGAGAAAATTTAGCTTTTTTTCCCCTTTGTATCTCACCCCTTAAAATCATGATCCATAGACTGGTTATTTTTTAAACTGGGCATTGAGCCCAGGTTTCCTGACTGTTCCATACCTTAGAAATACCTACTATTTTAGCAGTCTCCTTACAACACTTGCAGGGCTTGTATTCCAGTTCACTATTTCAACACATGGAGAAAGTTTCTAGTTATTGGGATATGACTGAATTTAGTTTCACAACTCCCGAGTCTCATTTTCAGTCTTTTTGTCAAACCCAGTGATGGAAATCAAAACCATTTGCTGGACAATGCAAATACATGTAACAGTGAAATGGATCCATGTTTTCAGAAGAATCCCAAACGCTGTGGTTGTTGTCTAGCCAGGCTTCTTCCGACTTCTAGTGCCAGAGGCTCTAGGCCAGGAGATACCAGCAGGATTTTTGTGCCAGCACTGGCATTCCAGTGGGATTCCCCAGAGGGATAGTGCTACTGAGTAAGCCAGAGGCCACCCCTCAAAAAACAGGTGACATTATGGCTGGAGCCTGGATGTAAGTATTGGAAAACACCCAGGAGAAAACAAGTCTCCCACAGCTCCCCTCCTGCCACTTCTAAACTACATAATAATAAAAGTTATGATTCTCTGCATCACATCTTATATTACAAGAAGATATAAATTAGTGAAGCATAAAATATAATAGAGCTTAATTTTCCTTTTTTTTAATCCTTACATACTCATACCTTATAAACTCATTCGAGGGACTACATTTTAAATTACAATTAAAAATTGCAATTACAAGGCTTGAAGATCTCGTGATTATATGAAGTGACAAAATACATGGCTATCTACTTAAATGAGTACAAACTGACTCGTGCAAGTAATACCAATAGTTTCATAATGAATTAAGCAAAGTGCACACATTTTTGTATTTGAGTATTCAAGCCCTAGTGTTTCTTCTGGTTTAACTGTCAGTAGATATTTATATATATATATATATACACACATTTAAATAAAAGGGAAACAGAAAAAGGCACTTTATCTAAAAGCAGAGCTCAATGCTCAAATGAAATCCCTAATTATCACAATTTCCTTAACTGTAGCCTGCTTCAACCTTTCTCATTATCTCAGTTCTTCACTTCTGTGTAATACAGCCCCCTGCCCAATAACAAAACACAGGGAGTTTTGCTTTGCAACCACTGTTTTAAACCAGGGGACCACAGAGGCCTCTCTGGGCAACATAAGATGCAATCTCTGCAAGGGTCAGTAATGGTACGTGAGTGTCCTTCCCCATCTGGGAAACGTCACACAGGTCATTCCACAGCAAGACAGAAGCTGAGCTGAGGCAGAAATATGTGCATTAACGTACAGTAATTTGGCCAATGCTGGATTAATCATTTTGGTTATCTATTGTTAGCCACTGTATGTCCAGATTATTTCCAATATTTGAAACTCCCCCTCAAATGCCTGTTCTATTCCCCTCTGACATGCCAAGATGAAAGCTTCCATAGGATGGCAAATCTCTACAGGTCTTTTAAGATGTATTTTGCTTTTGGAAGCAAGCCAGCACACTCATTTCTTATTGAAAGTGAACTAAAAGAAGCAGGTAACACAACAGCTCGGATAGAAGCAAGGAGAGGGGATACAAAGGACTGCAAGGAGGGTGGAATGCTGCCTTGGATTAAGAGATCAGCAGAGTCAGCAGCCATCAGAGTGTCCGTGTCAAACCACCCCCTGCACAGTATTATCAAAAGGGCTAATTCTGCAGGATATACACAGGAAAGGCACTTAGCAATTAGTTTTGTTCAGGGACCAAAGAATTAGCTTATCCTTGTGCTGGAAAAACAGACTTACATCCTGGAAACTTGACGAAGCAGAACAGAGAACGCTTTGAGTTAGAGGGTTTCTGCCTTTCCCAAGTGTTTAAAGAATGCTAAGCGTTGCTCTTTCCACCCAGGAGACACAGCAGTTCGAGAGGTTTTTGAAGAGACTGGCATCAAGTCAGAGTTCAAGTCCATCCTAAGCATCAGGCAGCAGCACCAACACCCCGGAGCCTTTGGGCAGTCGGACATGTACATCATCTGTCGCCTGCAGCCCTCCTCCTTCAGCATCAGCTTCTGCCAGCAGGAGTGCCTGAGGTGTGAGTGGATGGACCTCGAGGAGCTTGTCAGGACAAAAAACTCTACTCCCATCACCAGCAACGTAGCCAAACTCCTACTGTATGGGTACAGGGAAGGGTTTGATAAGATCGACATAACCGTGAGGGAGTTCCCAGCTGTCTACACAGGCCTGTTCTACAAACTGTACCACAGGGAGCTGCCCGAGTCCTACAGAAACATTACATGAGAGCAATACATTTCACATTTCGTTAGATTAATAATTTAGAATTATTACTGCAGTGTTGCACATTAAATTTATTCATGGACTTCTTTTTAGGTAATTATTAGTAAGTAATTATCCTCTAATAAGCTAAGAGATAAATTATTTTTAAAGGTAAATATTGCTGCAAGTGTGCATCAGATTTGTTTTCCTTTACTCCATAAAGAAAGCATAATGTAAATAAAACAGCTCTGCATAGATACCTAGAAGAAAACAGATGTGTTATTGACCTTGAAAATATATTTTCCAAGAAATTTTACCTCCACACACACTGGCACAATAGGTTTAAAGAGCAATATAAAGACAGTATGAAACATTCATGTTTTAAACTGGTATCTGGAAAAGTAGTTAATATCAGCAAATAATTGCTTATATTTTGCTACTTCAGGGAGGAGTAGGAAAGTCGACGTCTTTAGTGTAGTGTGGCAAATGTGCTCGGAATCCGCCATGGGAATCAGCTTTTGGCAGACATGGGAAGAAAAAGGATAGCTTTCTGTCCAGGTCCAGTTTTTGGTCCAGGTTTGTACTGTCCAGTTCTTTTCAGTGCCACGTACCAGTCGGAGTATTTCCGTGATCGGTAAGTGTTATAGTTATTAGATTCCAAACGCTCAAAGAAGAAACATTCTTCTGTTGCATATTTCTAAAAAGGGGGGGGAAAAAAAAAAAGATTATTGGTATAACATCCAAAAACAATTCTTCAGACTCATGGGACTAACTTAGCAAAACTGTGAGTTAGCAGTACCTCTGGCTTTAAGAAATGGATATGAAACATTTCATGACAGAAGAATGATAGTTATTTTGAAAATATTGTTAAAAACACCTACAGGAAGAAGAGGGTTTAACTGTGGTTCATTTGTGGTGTCTAACACGGACCAAGCAGGTTCTAGTTTGTTTTCTCTGTGTAATTCTTTGTTCTGATCAGAAATTCAAACATTTAAATGAAGGACCCTGTCCCCTGGCACTCAGTGACTTCCAAGCTCAGCAGCTTTGACATCCCATCCTAGGTTATAGCCAAAAAGAAAAGCAGGGTGTAAGAGAAAAGGCAGCATTTCCCTTGCCTTCCTCAACCCAACATTTTATCCATTAGATAAATAGCATGGCAGAGTTCCAGCCTTTGCCTCTTCTTTTCCAATTTCGAGGTTTAACTTTTCCTACAGCTAATTCAAGTCTGTGTTTATAGCATTCCGAAACAGTCTTTTCAAAGATTTTTTTAGAATTCAAAACTTGAAAAATAACGTTAAACATTAAAGAGGTATATTCCACACGGAGACCAGGCATGCCATAGTATTCAGAAGTACATCTATGGAATTACTTTACTTCTGGAAGGAAGTCTTCAAAGCCAGCTCCACCTACATGGAATTAACATGGCTCTCAGCTGTCAAGGTGGTAAATCCACTGCAGAACTGGCACTTCAGGCAAGAGAAATTATTTTCTCAAATATAAAAAAGGCAGAAGTTCAACACCCCAGGAACTTGGAGGGTGCATTTTCTTTTCATAAAAACACCACCTCTCAGTCCATCAGTTCAGTCAGACTCATTTCCCCTGAAAATTTTTGGGAATGCCAGAGGAGCAGAAAAGCTCATCATTGAAAAGCAAGCGTGTAAAATACTGGGGAGCAGACAGGGAATGTGAGGCAATCCCTGAAATTAGCAGGCTACCCTTTGTTATCATCTTCTGTTAATATTCATTAATATATAAAGTGAGCTTGGAACAATTAGACTTCATACAGAAGGCACAGAAACATACAAGAGAAGGGTAACTCCTCATATATGCCAAGATTCTGTAGCTACAAACAATTAAATCCTTCAAGTGCAATCTGGAATAAAGTGATCTGTCTCCAAACACATCTTCAAATAGAAGGGTATTTTCTCCAATCATTTTCAGATATGAATTTTTGCTTCTAAGAAAAAGAACTTGTAAGAGAAAATCCATCTGCAGTTTCTCATTTCTATAACTCGCTGCTACTTGTACATTTCAAATAACAGAAATCCCATTCACAATTTTCATGTTATTTTTATTTTAAATAATCTCTCCCAAGATAAGTTGTACTTCAGTGCTTTGTGTTCCAGCAATGTGAGAACAAATGCATTAATCACCTTGAGCCATAGATCCAAGCGTGAAAGGGAGGAGGGCACAGAAACTGTATAAAGAAGCATTTAAAAACAAAACCTTTAAGCAGAGCATAGGCAAGTTTAGTACAATTGCTCAAGCTGGAAATTCAGGCAGAGACACCATCAAAAAAGTGTGAAAAAAAGAAAAGTCTTTTTCTGCACAAAGCATATGTGACACCAGTGGGTTCCTACAGTGTGTTGCCAATGTAAACATTTTGACATACAAGCCAACATTTAGATGACAAATGCTAATTCAGGCTTCATAAACTATGTATTCCCTAACGTCTGCCAAAGGAGGCATTTCGGAAGCCGGACTGCTGTCCAGCAGGAGCAGGATGCCAGCCACCACACTGAGAACCTCAGCCCCTGGAAAAACCCTGCATATCAGTGGTTTTTTCAAATACGCTTAAGTCGAGGCTGCACTCAGAGCGCTGATCCAGCAGGGGAAGCTTCCACAGCACAGCATGAAACACCTGAACTCTGCAGCCCTTCAGAAGGATAAAGGAAGGGAAAGCACCTGGGGCCGTGGTGGGGAGCGAGTTCCCCCTGTGCCTGCTCTGCCCCCAGTCAGTATTTTGTCGGCTGCCAAGCAAGCCCTCCCCCCTGACTAAATAAAATCCTGAGTGCAGGAATTTTCAACTTTAGCAATCCTGAAATCCTCAAGTCGGTTCACCTAGGGCAAATTAACTGCCTGAAAGAGGGGCAGCAGCTTCCTGCAACAAGGTGGTTCTTCCCATATTTGCACAGACATCACCCACTGATTGATTTTTCGGTGCAAACCTCATCTGCCCTAGAGTCACACCATGCCACCCTCTGACATTTTGGACTTGGATTAGGAATTAAAATTCCTCAAGTTTATTAATGCTCAAAACTGAAGCCAGAGGGTTTATTTATTAACCTGTAACTACCACAGTGGATCCAGTACGGCCTGAGAGAGGTGATGATCATATTCAGCCTTTTCCAACTACAAAAGGGTCCAGAAATGCAGGTTATTCTCACAAATATTCCTGTGGCACAACTTTAATCCATAACATCAAAAGACAAGAATTTCCCTTCAAGTTGAGTTTTTGAAGTGAAACCATGTAAGCACAACAGACAGAATGAACAGGTCATGCCCTTTAATAACAAGTTATCGTGAAATATAAGTTAGTCAAAAGTTCAATTCTTCCTTTCATAGGGAGTTTGGTAAATTCCTTCATTAAACAAAATAATCACATTTCTTTCCATAAAGTGAAAATATTTTATTATTATAATTAAATGAAACCGGAAAGTGAAAATAAGCCGTATCAGAAGTGAAACGTTTCAGTGTTTCCATTAAAAATCTGATGGAATAAGATACTTTTCCACGCAAATATTTTCAGTTAAAACAGCATTTTCCAAGGGGAGGTTTTGACTATCTGCATTAATAACCAGCCATTTCCTCCCGTGACACAACTGGTAAAGATTAGTTCTCCCCCACAACTGAGTCTGTTAGTAAAGAGCATGAAACTGCGCCATTAAAATCAGCATCATGCAGCTTTCCAGACAGGAACACGATCCACTGCACCCCCACGCAGGTCACCAGGATGAGCAGCGATGCACCGGCCGTGCAATAAATCATTCTGCAAAACCCAGCTCAGAACAAACTCTGAAGACATGTCTGCACAAAATAATTACAAAGACATTTGGCAAGATGAAAAGCAGGCCCGAGTAGTAATTTGCAAAAGTATTTTTGAAGATGTTGATTCATTTATAAAACAAGGACACTAAACGAATGGATGCTGGACATGGACAAGTAAGTAAAGCAAGCAGACATTAAAAAAGACAGAATAGTACTTGAGTGACTGGTGGATTAGAGAACTCTGTGAAGTGTTGAAAAACTAAAGTTCCATGACATTTTAGAAGAAACAGCCAAAGGTTTCAGCAGTGTTTCATCGTGTGCACTGACGAGATCACTGCACCACAAAGGTTTCCAGCTCTTTGCAGAGCTCTCGCTGAAACACAGCCCTGCTCAAACTGAACGAGAAACACTGGCAATTAGAAACAGTTTGATGAATGTGTTTAGAGGCAGAAACAGTAGAGGCACAACCGGCCACAGACTGTTGGAAGTCACAACACAGAAATCCTCATGGAAAAAACATTTGCCGGTGCTACAGAAAACAGCCATGAAATTGCAGCAGCATTCCTCAGGCTGGGTGAAGAACAAGATCTTAAAAGAGTAGAGAATTTTCACCTATGAACAACAAAATAAAATTAAAAGAGCTGTAGGAAGTAGTGTGTGCAGCAAACACAATGCAAGTAATACCCATTTCCAGAAACTAACACAAATGTTTTATAAGCTCAAGTGAGAAGCACGAAGTGACTCAGCTTTACACGTTTTGAGAGCGTAATTCCGAGTGAACAACCCACACTTTCCAAGCACTTTGCCTTACAGGAACTAAGCAGCTAAAATTGCTGCAAGGAAGGCATGTTCTACAACCCAACCCACTATTGCAACAGCAGAAATCCCAAATACAACGATCCCCTCGTGTTTAGAATTTTACAAATGGCACTTAACACCCTATTTTGACCATTCACTGTCACTCGGGTTAAAGAGGATGATCTGAATGGGAAGGTGAATGCCACCAGGCCAGCACCACAGGAAATTCCCCATTACCCTTAACTCAAGAATAGCACAGTGGACAACTCCTCATATTTTCTTCAACTGAGCTGTCACACAATACCCAAGTAATTTGAAGCAGGTCCTGTAACTGTACTCACAGGCATGAGCAAAACGGGCTTCCCGGAGCAAGAGATGTGGTGCTGCAGAGCACCCCGGGGACCCTGCTCCTGTGGAACTCCTTTTAGCCTCCTTTCACTGAGGCAGGAGGGAAATCAGAAGGAATTTCTGCAGCCCTTGGCATGGGTCTCTCATCAGCTGCTGTTCAGCCAGGGTTAGGAATGCACATTACTAACCCTAGTCACTGGTGGCAACTTGCACAGAGGTTGAATGCTCAAGACACCAAAGTACCAGGGATTATTGCAAACTGAAATTCTGAAGGGATGAATGCCCTGCAGTGGTGCTTCACCAGTGCTGGAGGTTTGCCTGCACTGAAGGTTATGGATGAGAGCTTTAAGCAAAATTAATGTAACTGCAGCTCTTAAAGCAAAATTTATATTCCAGCTCCAGGAGTCCTTATTACTTTTCAGAGCCAGCTACACATACTGGCTTTAAAACACAGTTAAAAATTCAGCTGATACCAATAAAATGCACAAGAGTTTAAACTAGAACTAGTCTCACTAGAGAGCAGTTTAATTTATCTACGTTTATATTACTTTTTAAAATTTTATCATCACATTTTCAAAAATGTATTTGCTTGCCAGTTTTCTAGTTAGGAAGTAAACATGCCCAAAAAACTCGATTCTCTACAAAGAGGAAAATGAGAAAACAATTTATACAGATTAGTATCATGAAAGTAAAACAAAATAAAGAAAAATTGGCTTTATTTTCTATTTTAAAAGGTCTTTAAAATCACACGTGTAAGGAAGTGAAAGAGGATAAAATTACTCCTGGGGGTAAGAAGGCAAACATTTCATTCTTCATCTGTTTTTATAACTTCCTTCTCTACATGATCACTATGATTTTTTTTCTCTCTCAGACAAGCCATTCCCATTAAATTTTGCAGCTTCTAGGTAGGACAGACATACCCAACTCTTCTTAGTTTGTAATTTAACTAATTGAAGCTGTGCAGAGCTCATTTCTCGCCGATAAATCACACACAGAGAGGCTGAGTAAATCCTGCAGGAGAGCGAGGACAGGACCTACAACTACAGACAGAAACACGAACAAAGCAGTGCTTACCAAGGCCAGCAATCTGCCATCCTCCTTCATGGCCAGGAAGCGATTTGCAATCACACCTTTGATCGACACCACTCCTCTTTCTTCGGCTTGAAGCTGCAGTTTGACTGAGAACAAAAAAAAGACAAAAGGAAGTTTTCACAGCCATCGTGGTATTTCAGCACTTAAGAGTGACTTGTCTTCTGCTTCAAACCTAAAACCAGAGCAAAGGCCCAAGAAACAGCGTTATACAAATCAGGAACATGATTTGAAACAATTATTTTGAAGAAACTGAAGATTTTAAAGAAATGAAAACCTGTAAGGTCGTATCACATAGCATTTAGCTACTGCCTGTGAATTACTGACACAAAACATAAACTGATTTTTCTAGCCATGAATCAAACCCAGCAGTTCTGATGAACATAGGAAAGCTTTCACCTTTGCCTGCTTGGTATCCATCATCTCAGGCACCAGCTTCATTCACCCGCCTGTTCTGGTGCACGAGATTCTTTGTTCTATTTAATGATGCAGTTTTAAACAGCTTGAGCTTTAAAGCCATCACAATAAATGCTTGAAGTTACTGTAAATTTTGGAGAAGGAGCAGCTCTCGAGATTCAGAGAGAGGCTGCTGCTTATCTGGCTTTTTGTTGAAGGGGAAAAGAGACAGTACTGAAGAAACCAACCAAAACTCCCAACAACAGGAGTACCGGGAACACGAAATTATTCGGGTAATTGCTGCAAACCCTTCTCGAGGGTAAAAGTAAAAAGTCAGGCACAAGGTTTAATTTCATCTCGGAATCAAGTATCCAAAATACAGCCCTCCCAAGTCATGAGGCCAACATCAGACCCGTTAACAGCTCCAAACCCTTCGGTGTAACTCCTTTGCCCTCTGGGGAAGCAAGAACTGGAAAAGTGCTCTGGGCAGGGACTGCGGGAAATGGGCTTCTGAGATGTGCCCAAGCACAGCTTTCACCACACACTTAACAAGGAACAGCTGTGTGGAATAGCTGAAAATTAATATTAATTACTGCAGTACCGACTTATTATGCTTTGTGACTTTCTCTGGACAGAAAAGCACATAAAATCCTCCAGCATCACACTGGGCCAGAAGTTCAGATCCTGTAAAAATAAACTTTTAGGAAAGGTTTTGAAAGCCTGTAAAGATTTGTATAGTTTGGAGAAGCTGGTGAAGTGTTACTCTTTACAAGGGAAAAAAAAAAGATTTTCCTGCAGAGTTTGAAAAGCGCTGCAATACTGAAAGTCCCCAAAGCAAAATCAGCTTCACTGGATTTTCCTCTCCAAAGGCACATGAACAAACAGAGCCAGAACAGTGCTGTGAGTTTTTCAGCTTTCAGCATTATTTTATGGCTTTGTGAATGTCATGTATTTGCCACAGTGCTGTGCTGATCTGGAGGTGCCAAGATACAGCCTTACCAATCACACACATTTTAACCACATGATCGACACCAGAAGCAACAGTTTTCAGTTTAAATCATTGCAACTTGGTTAATTGGTTGTGAGAGAAATTTATCACTTGACATCAATGATCTGTATCTTTTGCAGCCCTCAGGTCACCAACAGCAACAGTTCAGACACTGTCCATCATTTCAGATCTACTCATACTTGAGTAGTATTACTCTACGCATATTACTCTACGGATAATAACTCAAAACCAGATCAATGGAAGCAAAATAATTCAGACATTTGTAGCCCAAAAAGGTAGCACAGATTATTGTGAAAGAGCCCGTTAACCAAGGCCTAAAAAGGCCCTTTTTCACAGTTTCTGGCAGTCCTTCTGGAGGGCCCCTCCAGCACGGCAGTGAGTTATTCCACTGTTCACACCCGTGCCCTTTAATTTGCAAGGAACTCCAAGCACAAGCCTCTGGTCGATTCCTGCTGGTGTTGTGACAACACAGAACTCGGCCTGCTGAGCAAACATCCCGAGCACTGAGGCTCAGTCATCACCAAGTTATGAAATAAAACAACGTCCCATCCCAAATATAACCGAGGTGACCTTTACCCACGGACAACTGAAGGCACTCGGGAAATTTACTGCTCCCGTTAAAGACTTGCTTTTGTCTCCTAATAAGCTGACCTGTGACCATCTCCTCTTTTATTGCCGAGTAAGAAGAAATGAATTGCAAGAAACGGCAATTTCATGCCAGCAGAGAAGTTCTGGGGAAGAAGGATAAAGTTGTATCTTTGGGAAGATAAAAAAATGGCTTGGAAGACAGGAATGAAATAAAGTTAAGGCACTGAAGTATAATTCAGGAGGTGGATTTAAAACCAGTGTTACCTAACGCTGTAAAGAGCTCTCATTAAAGACTATTAGATGTAGATACACACACAGCCTTCTAAACCTGTAAGGGTAATCTACACTCAGAATTTCCAGATTTTCTTTTACACCCATGTGTCTTCTTGCTTGTAATACCATCTGCATCTCTATATGGCAGATTTATCCAAGGAGATGATCATTAAGTGGGAAAACTCATCACTTTGGATGTAGCTTGAGTGAACCTACTATGCCTTCGGGTAGAGAGGAGACATTTATTCCTAACAATACACAGAGGTTCTGGTTAGGAATATGTACTCACTGATGTTTTGGCTGAAGAATAACACAAGCTACACAGCCAAACCTGAATTTCCACTGAAACCAGTACAATTTGTAGCACTAAATGAACCACACAGCAACAGACACTGAAATGCTCTGTCTCCCAGGGTATATGGTCAGGGCAGATGTACAAGCTGCAGGTTAAACTAGCCAGCATATTTAAGAGAGGGTTACAAATGGGCATTTATTTCACAACTTGGAGACACTTTTCTAAGAATATGGAAGTTGAAAAGTGGTATTTAATAGCTTTGTGGTTGGCAAGGTTTCAAATCTCAGTTAAAAACTGGATCTTCCTTGCTTTTCTTAAAGAGCTCAAAAAAACCTTATTTCCAGGGCAGTTTTGCACAGTCCAGTGGAGGAAATAATTTTAAGGACAAGTAGCACAACATGGACAGAAAAGCCATTAGCAAATGTGGGGAATACAGAAAACATGTACATTTTCCGAAAGTTCTTTTACTACCCTGAGCACTAGAACTGAAAAATCACACGTACGATGCAAACTCCAAAGCCCTTTCACAGTTCTCATAAACCAGCAAAGCTTTAGAATGGCCCAAACCCAATAACACTGCACTAACTTAAATGGTCCCAAATGGTTTCTTTGCTCTGCAGCAGAAAGAGTTCGGCCAAACATCTCCTTCAAAACCAGTTCATTTTGAAGATCTTGGCAAAAATCTACCAACTTAATGCTTTAGAAAAAGGGAGCTGCACATTTTTTAAGTTGCTCCCTGCTGAGCTGGTACTACCTTTCTCACATTCCTGGCTGGAATCTGTTGGCAGCTGTGGAGGAGCCTGGAGCATCTCAAGCACTTTGCCTGCGGCAATCCATGTGCAAGAAGCCACTGCTGGTATTTCAGTCAGAGCAGCTGCACAGGCTAAGATGTTCTGAGGCAGGAGTATGCCACAGTATCAGTAAGAAAAAGGGAAAACAAAGGTCTGAGTGGGAAGAGAAAGGGACAGAAACACATTAGGAATAAAACAAAAGACAAAAAGAGAAAAGACCAGTGAACACGGAGCAGGGTAAGCGTGCAGGACAGGAGGGTGCTGCACCAGAGCATCAGGCAAACACACATCTTAAGTAGGTGGAATGTGAGGATGTATTAGCCAAATGGATTAATAAAATCCACATTTTCCTACTCCTCTACAAGGAAATGGGAACTCTTAACCACTACATCAGGGAGCCTTAGAGAAAAAGCCAACCATGAGCTTCTGGCTTTGGAGACACTTACACAGCAAATAAAGGCATAATTACAGCCTCAGCTGTATTTTCACTATAATCCACCTAGCAAAGATCCCTATAAATAAGACTTCAATGCAGACTAAAACTAAGAGTACCAGCCACAGTCTCAAAATCCCGCACACTTCAGGTCAGAAGGATCCAGTCCAGCCTCCTGCTCAAGACTCTCCATCGCTTCAGAGTGAAAACCCTGCGGCCACACTGCAGCTAACAGAGCAGCTCATGGACCTTGGGAAGAGAGGACAAATAGGATACTATTTCAACCCATTTTCACTGACATACAGATGCTTTATTTGAACTGAGAAGGTCATTAGCAAAACACCTCTCACTCTGTTTACGGCAAGGGAGAGTTTATGTACCCCCGAAAACTCCCAGGCTGCACGTCTCTGGATCAATGACTCGCATTACTACAGTTTGCTGTGGAAAAGCTCAACCCCAGCCAAAGGCTCAGGGCCCATCTCCAACATATTTGCAGAGGCCCCGTAAGGAAAACCCTTCCACGAGGCCCCCGAATGACACTGTGGTGAAGCTGCTGCGCCAGCTCCCATCACCCATCCTCCTCCTGCACCTCCATGCCCACGGGAAAGCACAAAGCAGTCTCACTGCTACAGAGGTGGGGCAGCTCCAGAGGGAGTAAGTGTCAGAAATGCAAGGAAATTCACCAAAAAAAGGGGGAAAATAAGAATAAACCCCCCCCAGCCAAATCCCCTCTCTGCCGTACTCGGTGGCTGAAGTTGGCAGATTCCTTCGTGCTTGGGGGCAATGTCTATTCCCAGCCAGGTGTCCAAGCAAAACACACGGAGTCGGACATGTTTGCTCCACACCTAACACGACAAACCCTCTCGAGCCCAAGGGCCGGTTCAAGGATACACATGTATTTGCACACACACATCTCATTACCCCCATTTTGGCATTTCTGGAGCCAAAGCTGCCCAGCTGGATCAGATCCAAACCCCAGCCCATGAGCTGGATGTGCCTACTGTAACTTGTCTCTAGGAATTACAAGTATCTTGTGTCTCTCTGTCCCACATTTAGTCTCTGACAGTTTGATATCTCTTTCTCAAAGACATATTAACATCTTCCACTAACTGATAAGTTTTTTCTTGACCTGTGAGGCATCCCCAGTCTTCAGACTGCAAACAGAACAACTCTGCTCACAAACCTTAGCAGGAGAGGTGGTCTGTTAATAAACCAAACCATCAGAACTGCAACAAAAACAATCAAGCCAATGGAGTGTCACAGTGAGAAACTGTGAGTCACGCTCCCATACAAAGGCACATTTC